TATCACATTTTCTAACCCCACTAATAAACATAACTTCATTATATACATGAAAATGAGAATTCATTTCGGAAGCGTTGCCTCTTCGACCCCCGCGACCTGACTGGTTAGGTCGATCCCCGTCGGGGCCTTGCCCCCGAACCCCCACGAAGGGTGCTACCCCCTCGACCGCCGCGACGTGTACATTTTTTTTTTTTTTTCAATTTTACCATATTGCCTTTAAATGCTGCTTGGATTAACTCTTTTGATTTTTTTACTGATTTCATAATTGCGTACTTAAGTTGCTTCTTGAATTATTCTTCTCTCTTTTAGGTTTTTTTTTTCTTCAAATATAACGAACATCCTAAGAAATAGTACTGTATTTTTTGTATTTGAATAAACAAATAATTATGTACACTGATGAGTAGCCAATATAAATTTTTTTATCGTAATGTGAAGATTTAAAAAAAAAACTTACGTTCATCTAAATCGATATTTTCAGATTCGAGATCAATCACTACGCTCTCATTAAATGTGTCTCCTCTATCTCCAAGAACAAATGATCTCAATCCCTTGCAAGCGTTCATATCATCGGACACGCAAGTGTCAGTTGTTGAAGTAATGTCAATGGCCGAAATAATTTGGGAAGCTGCTACAGTAAAGCCAGACTTCTTAAACACTGGAGTTATTTGTGATGGACTTAGACCAACAATTATAACAACAATAACAATCTTAGTAAATGAATAAACTGTATGCGATAAACATACAATAATATCATTTGTGATACCACTGCAAGGAGATTTGGAATAGTTTCAAGAGCAACCTGCAAAAATACTCCCGTTAATGGCTCATTAAAATCCATAAAACAAAACTGCAAAATATACAAAGGAATTTATTACCGTCACTTGCATTAACTTCTCTGGCTCGCTTGGATGAAATGATCGTTGATTTAGTAAGCTTTCTCATCGAATATGTCTATCTGGACTGCGACTTGAACGATATACTCACAAAAATGTTGCGCCCGCAAAAATAATTCTCCCGAGACGAATAGAAAACGAAGTCTTCAAATTTCTTGTAAATGTGCTTGCA